CCTCCTCTCTTTGCCAACACTACGCAAATCCAACACTCCAGCCAAACAAAGCTCCCTGCTATCGTTTTTATCTTCTTGGCTCTCTGCCTCTCTGGCCTGCGTTCTTCTTCCAAACCAATTTATTTCCAATGTAAAAGACTCATTTTTCCACAAGCAGAACACCCGTCTAGCAAGAACTCTCATCGCGGGCTCAGAAAACAGTGAAAAACCATTTCAAGCCTCATGGTCCAACCACCCTTTGCTTGTCATGGCAGTAGCTGCCTCTGCTGGCTCAATTGCTGTGCAATTACAGAACAACGGCGGCTCATCATTTTGTGATGCCCCAAATATTAATCAGATGTAACTCTCACACCCCTTCTCAGTTTTTAAAATTTTGTTCTATTTCTTTTGAATTTTTGATGGATTGGTTTCTGTTTGGAAGTGTTGAAGTTGGATTCTTTGTTGTGTTTTGCTCAACATTCATGGATGTTTCTTTGACACAACTTTATTAAGGAAACAAGATGAGATTTTTTTTGCTCTCATTATATATATCTGGTGGTTCTGTTGGGAGGTTTTAGAGCTCGTTTGGCTAAGCTCAAAAAGCTTGCTTATAAGTGATTAAGTTTGTTTTAAAATACATGATTTTTTTTTATTTGTGATGCCCCAAATATTAATCAAATGTAACCATTACACCCCTTTTCAGTTTCTTGAGTATTTTCTGTTTATTTTGAATTTTTGATGGATTAATTAAGGTCTGGAAGTTTTGAAGTTGGGAGTCTTTTTTGTGTTTTGATTGAAATTTATGGACGGTTCTATGCACAAATATATTTAAGGGAACAAGATTGAATTTTTTTTCTCTCATAATATATGAGTTGGTTTTGTTTTCAGATTTTAATGTTGGTAATTTTTTTTTATTTTTTATGTGAGACGGATGCATATTACAAAAACTTAATTGAATTATTAAAAAAAAGGAATTTTACGAAAATAATCCATCAGAAGAGGTTGGAACCTTTGTAGTTTTCAAGAACTCGCTAAATGGAAAATTATTTTTTGCAGAAACATGAATGATGATTGCCTAAGTAGATTTTTTATTTTTATTTTTTTAAAAAATCTTCTGTAATTCCTTTGAGTTTTAGAGTTAAGAGCATTGGTCAAAGGTTCACATACAAAAGTTCCACAAGAGCTTATTGACGAATTAAAGGCCATCTGCCAGGTCCCATTTTTTCCACTTTAAGCAACTAAGCTTTTGAGCCAGTGTTCCATTATGATATCAATCAACTATTGATTGTTTTCTAACACTGTTTTGGCATTTTTTCCCTTAATGTTATTATTTTCCGCCTCGCGTTAATTTCCAGTTTCTTCTACTCTTGATTCTTTATGAAATACAATGTTTTGACTTTTGAATTTCTTTAGCGGAGCTACATCACTTGAGGGCCACACGTTATCCCCTAATGATGGTGTTTGTATTGACATGTCACATATGAAAGTATGATTACTAGTATCAATTGTTTATATTAATGTCTCACTCTTATATTTACAAGAGGACCTTCCTTTCCTTTTAACTTCAGAGTAAATCATTTTTCTAGCTCGACACGATCTTCGTTCGTTTGTTAATGAGGAATGGTATAATGTCAATCATGCTTTTCATCATGTGGATAAAAAAAAATTAATTCTTAGTAGGTAATAAGTAGAGAACTGAAGGACTACAACTCACCAAATGCACAGTTACCCAAAATGATGATATAAAAATTAATCAAACACTGCTCTCTATGAATACGTTTACATATGTCATGCATCTGAAAGAGCTAAACCACAAAAGAATATATTGTTTTTGCTATGTGGACAATAAAACCACACTGTCCTGTATGTAGTTCAAATTTATTTTCCATTTTTTTTAAAAAATCTGAAATGAAATAGTGACAAAATTTAGAACAAATAATTTTTTTTCCCCTAAATTTCCTGTCCATGTAAAGTTAATGCAGTATAGTCCAAAAGAACATGGGGATAGGTGTTAACAAGATTACCTTACAAACTTTACTCCAAGAATGTGTTTTTCTCAACAAACCCCTAATTTTCTTTTTCAGTGATACTTTGACTAGGCTTACTTTTACGTAGCACTCCTCAGGATAAGATGCTTTAGATGTCATTTCTCTACTGTTATTGATTTTAATCTTTTTTGGTTTTTCTTCTAATTTTGAATTTTTCTAGACATATATATTTCATAACTTATATGTTCAAAAATTTTACCTATTTGTTTCAACATCCATGTGGGTAACTACACTTGGAAGTTGTCATCAAGTACACGTAGTTACCGTATCGGTAGTTGGAAATTTTTTCGAATTCCTTACCTAGCAAAGTGTTAAAATTGTAGAACATCAAATCATTAAATCTTGAGGATATGGATGTGGTTGTTGAACCTGGGATTGGGTGAATGGAACTTAATGAATACCTGGAGCCTTATGGTCTATTCTTTCCTTTTGATCCAGGTCAGCTTCTTTTGATCTATCTTAGTCGATCTTTTTTTTTTTACGTCTTCAAAATTATAAAATACTAGTCTTGCTTCCCGTTGGGCTTCTTATGTCGAGATATAGATCAGAGTTTGAACGTCTTCAGGGATGAAGACATCTGGCAGATAAGCTGGGCAACATATCCAGCAGGCATAAAAGTAATATTGTCATCTAAAGAATTTGGCACAACTAGACATCTCAAAGATTTTCATGTGCTGCTCCAACTGTATCTATTGGTAATGCACTTGGGTTGGTTTGGCCTCTTCCATAACATTTGTCGTTGATGGTTATAGGTAAACCACAGTAAAGCAGAAAGGAAAACCTCGTCTGAAACATAAATTTGTCTTATCCCTCTTTACTAAGCGACACTCACGATTTGTACTCGCTCCTACTATTTCCTCCTCGAATCCCTTCTTTCAATGGATCTTTTCTTGTGTTTAGGTTAGCTCTCTACTTTCATCTATGCTCTTTGGGTCTAGCTTTCCCACTTCAGCTACCATTACCACTTTCCGGATAATCTACTCACGTGGTTAGATACAGTTTGGAGAAATTCCCCGCATGAGTTCGCTGGATGTTACAACCGCTTAGCATACGTCCTTCCATGGACCCACCCACCGGGCATAATAACCTCATGCACGAAACCAACAAGGTATGGATATGGTTCATGAGGTCCGCGTGTGCGTCGTTAAAGATTTTGATCTTCAAAGTATTATAAT